GTTTATGATAGATATTTATTATTTTAATTCTTCAAAAAACACTTTTTTTTTTTACATTAAATATGTAAAAAGTACCGGTGGTGTAGGGGTTGGACTTGGTCATGGATTTCAATTTCCGACACCTCAGGTCACCTGCCATGCAGGGTATTAGGTTCGGCCGAGGGTTTACCCGGTGCACACTTTCGGATAACGACTGCGGATTTCACATCATAAAAACATATATATATATATATAATATAATAAAATAAAACTAATATCAATCCCAGTTAGGAAGTCCAGGGTCGACCGGATCCATCCATCCATTCATCATCAAAATGATCAACGGTGAAGATTTGCTTACGGCAGAGTTATGGTCCCCGGAGTTCCCTTGAATTGAACAAAAGAAAGTCGTTTATGATTTTATATTATTTGGTCGTTGTATTCATTTGACAAGACATGCATTTTAAAATAAATATATAAATTTCGAAACTTTTACTTTTTAAAGTATTAAATAAAAAAAAAATTAATATTTTTAATTAAAAAATAAAAATAAATTTAAATAACAATAAAATAAAATAAATTTGAATAACAAAGAGAGCATATCGTGGAACCTTCTAATTAATTATTAACACGTAATTTATCAACTTCTAGATAATATTGTATAACTATGACTTTGCAGCTTTATATGTTTTACCGTTGTGTTTATCCAAGAAAAAAACATCTAGCTAGCGTGCCCTCCTTTTTGTTTTCAAAAGCCCTTTTACACTGTACACACTAGAATAAGTATTAGTATATTTATATCTATATATATTATCATTAAAAATATATTCCGTCCCACGTATATCTGCCACAGACAAGATATTTTAGAAAGAGTGTAATTAGTAGATAATTAAGAATATATTAGTGAAAATAATTATTCGATAATATAAATAATTATAAATTAAGATTAGAATAACTAATTAATTTAATTAAAATTTTAAAAAAAATAAAATTAAAAGTTTAAAATGAGATTAAAGTGTGTAATCATTTTCCAAAAAATAAAAGTAACATGATATTGATATGTGGGACGGATAGAAACAGCAACATGAATATGGTATATGGGACGAAGGGAGTATATTATATGTAATATTCATTTTTATTAAGGTTATATTTACTTTGAGTTTATATAGATATATAATTTTAAATAAAAAAATATTTTAAAATTTAAATTCAAACCATAAGTAACCAAAGCAAACTCTCAGCTTTTTTTATAATAGAACATATCCGTCTATTTTGAAAATATACATTATTACGGTGGAAAGTTAAAAATAGTGTAAAAGTGTGTTTGTTTGGGGGTTTGGATTTTGAGTTGAGGTTTGAATAGTAAAAATTTTAAATTTGAATAGTTGTATGATGTGATATAAATAGGTATTGATGTGATATTTTGAATGTAAAATTGATTTTTAGTATAATACTCCCTCCGTTCATATAGAAAATATACATATTTCTATTTTGGGACGTCCAATTACAAAGTAAATATTTCATTAAATACCTTATTTTTTTCCACAAATACCCTTACTTTACATCACATTATTACTTTTATACCAAAAAGTAAGGGCAAAAATGTCATTACACTACTTTTAACTACCCACTATAATTAAAATACTATTATTTCTTAAACACCGCGCCAAAAATAAATATTTACTTTGTGTGTGGACGGAGGGAGTATAAAAAATGAAAAATAGGTGTTTAATTTGATATTTTTTAGATGAATAGTGAATTTAAAATCCAATCCCCCAAACAAACACACCTTAAAAATAATTTTATCTTTATTTTTTGGTGTAAAATAAATGATGTTATTGTAAACTAAAATATTTGTATAAAAAATAAGTACATGTTTAGGGTGTGTTTGTTTGGGGGTTTGGATTTTAAGTTGGGATTTGAATAGTAAAATTTTTTAATTTGAATAGTTGTATGATGTGATATTTGAATGTAAAATTGATTTTTAATATAATATAAAAAATAAAAAAATAGATGTTTGATTTAATATTTTTTGGATGAAAAAATGGGATGAATAGCGAAAATCTAATCCAATCTCCTAAACAAAAAGAATAATTATTTTGTATGGATACTAAATTACTAAAATTAATTAGTACGTTAATTGGAATTTAATTTTATGTGCATGCACTTGATTAGTAGTCTGTGTCAAGTTTAGAAATTGCGACGTAACTAACTAACTCTAAACTACTCCGAAGTCGCGCTACATATAACCACGCTTTCTATGTACGCACGCTTCTAGAAGAAATTAATTAATTAATAATAGTATTTCCATTTGGGTCTTAGTTCAATCATTTGACTCGGGACTGGTCGGAGTGCCAACACAACAACGTACCCAACAGGTAAAATTCTGTGGGCGATATTGTGTACAATTGAAAGATTGGGGACTTATGTGCAAATATACAAGTCCACGTTGGGATTGCATCGCGTAGTGAAACTTGCACCGCAAGCCTTGCCTTGATGGCCTTTATGTCATGCTGACATGTACCGTATAATTATATAATTATAGTAAAAAATTAAATTTAAATAATTTATAATATTTTAAATATAAAATTAATTTTTATAATAATATTAAGAAATAAAATAAATAATAATTTTTTTTTGAGAAATCCAAATAAAACACAATTATATATCCTCTCAATTTAATTATATTTTCAAATTTTAGTTCTGACTGGATAATTTTAGAATAATAAAAGTTAAATATTTAATGTGATTTTTTTAATATATTAATAAAGTAATTGTTAATTATAATAGTCCAAATTAAAATTTAAAGAAAAATAATATTTAAAAATTATTTTTTATTTATTAGTTGTTTAGAAGGCATGCTCTACTAGTAATATTTTACTTCTATCTTTTTTAAATACAAAATTATATTTATATATTTATAAGTTTTTATTTTTTTTAAAAAAATATATGAATTAATTTATGTTAATTATATATTTATATATATTTCTTTATTATGTTATATAAAAGTTTACTCTTTACTAAATAAGATTAATGTCATATATTTTTAGTGAAATTTAATTAATTAACATCTTTAAAATATATTTTAAATTTATTTTTGATTAAATATATATATATTAAAGTATAATGTAATTTACAATCAAACTGAATAAATAAAAAATTTAATATTTATCCACAAAATTTATTTATTTAAAATTATGATTTATTTGTAGAATACTTTTGGTCGAAGTAAGCTGGAGCAAAGTATTTTGGGTACGTTTTCTTTCTATCTATATTGTCTTAACTGCAAAATATTATTATTAATAAATATTTTTTTTATCCCATTTTAATTGACACATTTGTCATAATAATTGACATATTTATATTTTATATAAAATTTATTAAATCAAAATATTATTAACAAAAATCATCTTAATTAACTACATAATATATAACATCATGGATTGTGTGGATCTATTCAAAACTTCTATATTTTTATTTCTTTTCAAAAAAATATTTTTATCTACGTTTAAAACTGCACTTAATTTATAAAATTGGTTTACGTTAATTCACTACAAGAAAAAATTATTTTTTGTAACAAAATTTTTTTGTCTCTAAATCTATTTTTTCCGTTACTAATGACATTAGCGACGGAATTATGAATGAAATTACATTAGCTACGTGAACTTTAGGGACGGAATTCCGTTACAAATAGATTATTTTTTTGTAGTGATTATAAATAAACAAACGTATTTTATATTTACTTGTATTATAGAAAATTTTATTCTTTCCTAAATGATATCCATAATGCATATAGTTTTTATTACTATATAAGTTTTAAATACATATTAATTTTTTTTAATCATATATATATTGAATTTATTTTAAAATTATCAATATTATTAATTATAAAAATAAAATAAAATAACTATTATTTACTAATTAAATATCATTATCTTTGATATCTAGTCCTAATGAATTAAAGAGGTCAATTATATTGGAACGAAAACAGTATTTTTTAGTACCAAATATACAAAAACATACTAAAATAAATTTTACTAAAATTTTAATGGGGAAAAAGAATAGATAGTTTTCATTTGTAAGGGAAAAAATCATGAACAATTTTATTGATATTATCCAGTAATAATTTTAATATCTCATTGACTATTTAATATATTATTATTATTATTATTAATAAGCTAAATGCAATATGAATATGTTAGACATAGAACATGGGTATGTTACCGCCGACCTGAAATGTGTCAGGATATACCAATTTTAATTGGGTTTATTTTTGGTATTTATTCCTTGTAAAATTTTCTAAATAAAATGTTCTCTCTCCGTCTCATATTTATATATTTATTTATTTATTATACGTAATTTTAAAAATATTAGTATTATATTAAGATAAAATAGAAATAAATATAAAAAAATTAAATTAATCCTATTAGTATTGTATTATATAAAGATAATGATATTTGTGTAATATATTATAAATTGGAATGATATTTGTAATGCTAGTTAGAGAGTACGATTATTGAAAAATGAAATGAATACTTTATTATTAATACGTTGTTATGGGACGAACTAAAATAAAAAAATAGATAGATTGTTAAGGGACAGATGAAGTATATATATTGTTTTGTCCCTTAAATAAGTATATTCGATTATTTTTTGTACGTAAAATTTTTAATATTAGAATAGTATAAATAAAATGATAAATAATATTATTAGTATTGTATAATATAAAAATAATGATATTTATGTAATAATAAATTGTAAATTATAAAAATATTTTTAATATTAGATCGAGGGTATAAACATTTATATTATGTATAAACTAAAACCAAAACACAGCAAACCCCCCTTCCCCCTTTAAAAAAAAGATTTTATCGTCGCCTGCTACACATGATTCGCTTAGTGTGACTTGTCTATCGAGTCTAATTTGCAAGATATTAGGTTCAGCCAGAGTTTCCTGCTCATCATTAAAAAAAAAAAAAAACCTAAAAAAAAAAGAGACAGATTTAGTAAAATGAAAAATTGATTTATTATATATATTATCTGTGCAAAAGGTACAAATAATGTCTGAATATTGTGCACTAACAAATGAACAAATAATGTATTAATTAATTAATTTTTTTTTAAAAAAAAAAATCCATCAGAAAAAGCAATCGACGACGGCCGGAGATATTTTCCCGAACACAAACTTATTCTCCGACGGCGTCAAGTTCAGATCCACACAAAGAACTCTCCTGCTATTATTCGCCGCCGTCTTCACCACCGGCAGCGGCGGCGGCGGCGGCGGAGACAGCGACAGCGACGTATCCTCCTCCGCCTGCACTTTCCGACCATCACCAGTCCCGCCGGCGGCTCTGTGCCTCCTCATATGTCCTCCCAACGCTTGCCCGATCGGAAACTCCATTCCGCAGATGGAGCACTCGTGAGTCTTCGGCTTCGGCGGCGACGGCGCCGGCGCCGGCGCTCCGCCCGCCTGCGCCAGAAGCCTCGGCTTCTTGTGGCTTGCGCGGTGGCCGCCGAGCGCCTGGAACGACGAGAACTGCCGATTGCACGTCTTGCAAGTGAATTCCCGGCCGTACGCCGCCTGATCGGCTCTTCCGCCGGTGGATAATAGAACCAAATAATTGGCTGCCATGGCGGTTATGTCCTCGGCACTGTATTCTCCTTCTCTACTCCTTTTCATCATCATTTTGATATTAATCGTAATTTAATTAATTTTTGTGCAGATTTTAGAAAAAGATAACGATATATATATGTGTAAATATAGAGACAGAAATCTGTATGTATGTGCATGAATTGATGCAAGTAATAATGTTGACTATTGACTTGTTGTAATAATAATAACAATAATAATAATGGTACACCAGAATATGGAATTGGGCAATTTTTTTGATGAATTCCTAAGTCAAACAATTGGAACTTACTACTTGAATATATAATTTTCCATTATTATGTAATAATAATAATAATAATAATAATAATAATAATATTAATTGGATACTTCCTCTTTCACATTCAACCATCAATTTCTTGTCCAATAAAGGATGATCTGGTGGTACAGCGGTTGATATCATTGGTTCCAATGCAGCTGCGGGTTTCCACGTCATAAAAAAAAAAAAAAACAATCAATTTATTATCCAATTTATTATTATTATTTTAAATTTGAAATATTGCAAATTTCTTACCATTTTATTTATCATCATTCTAGATATAATTGTATGGAATAAATTATTCTCTCTTATTATTATTATTATTATAAACACATCATGTGCACTAATAATCTTTGTTAATGTCTACTTACAAACTAATAATTCATATATAATAAATAAAAGTAATATTAAAATGAAAAGAAATATAATTGATGAGTTTAGTTCATTCATTTGGGTAATTGAAAATTAAAATTAAAATTAATAAAAGGATTAACAGAATTGGGGACATAGACACAAATTAGTCAATCAATCATAGTAGCTTTAGGTACAACAACAAATCTTACGGCAGCCATCAATTAATTTTTAAATGCTTTAATAGTAACAATAATATAATTATTATAATTAATTAATTAATTAATTAATTAATTAAATGAGGTAGTAATACTCTAGCTAGTGTGAAACATTCTGCTTTCAAACTGTAATTTTCTTTCAATACACACTGTCCACTACGTCATTATCTCTCTCTCTATATATATTCGTATGTATATCTATGTATACACGTGTCTGTGCGTCAAATCTACAGCTCCAATAGTTTATTCAATTATCACTGCTGACAAAAATATCATTTTTAACGAAGTTTTTTTATCTGTAAATCTATTTTTTCTGTTACTAATGACATTAGAGATGAAATTACATTAGCTACGTGAATTTTAGAAATAAAATTTCGTTACAAATATATTATTTTTTTTTAGTGCTACAAGAAAAAGAGGCTTTGTTTATTTTTATTTTTTTTTTTAAAAAAAATTATTTACCATATAATGTCATCAACTCCTGTAAAACATATACATTTTTTACATATAAAATTATTATATCCATCGATCGATGATTGTTAGGGCGTTGATTTTTCAACTCAACATAAGTTATATGTATAAACAATACACATTATTATTACATACAACACATATTGTGTATAAATAAATGTATTTGATGTTTTTTATAATAAAAAGTGTGCTATATAAAAGTATGTCATGTGCTAAAATTAATTATTGTGTCTGTTGTACGAGACTATAACATGTTAGTTATGTGTTATATATGTATTATATTAACATATACAATATATTTTCTGTAATAATATTGTGTGTTGTTGAGACTGTATGTGTTCTTTGTTCATGTATGGTATGTTTGTTTGAGATTTGAATTTTGAGTTGAGATTTGAATAGTAAAAATTTTACATTTGAATATTTGTATAATGTTATATAAATAGGTGTTGATGTGATGTTTTGAATGTAAAATTGATTTTTTAGTATAATATACAGAAAAATAAATATTTGATTTGATGTTTTTTGGAGAAAATGTTTTGATGAATAGTATAAATCCTCACAAATCCTCCGAGCAAACACGCTCGAAATTTATTTGTATTATATTAACATATACCGCGTTATATATATAATAATATCAATGTCAAGCTAGCAGTACTGTAAATTTAATATCAATGTCAAGCCACCTCAATAAATATTTTACCCAAGAATTTAAAACACAACCACAAAGTAAACAAACTCAAAATTTGCTAAAAATTTTAAGGAAAATTTTAATAAGTACTAAGTAGTAACCGTAACACTTTCAACCACTATTATTATTATTATTATTATTATTATTATTATTATTATTTAATTATTTTGAATTAATTTTGAAAGATGTAAAGAGGTCATTGAGAGCGTAAGCATGATCTGTTCTTCCCTAATCCATTCAAAACAAAACAACCTGGTAGAAATTCTTGGATGGTCCTGGGACCTCATGAGTCCACACAGTTAAATGGTGTAGGGGAGTTGCAGTCCAGGACCGCCCACCTCTCACTTGAATAAGTCACGAATGACTAGCCAGCCAATACAGAAGAATCTTCTCTAAGCTTTCTAGATACTTTCATCTATGCATATTATGACTTTATTAGCAGCCAAGTTTTTAAATAATAATAAAATATATATATTTCGAAAAAGATATTATACGTATTGCAGTATTTGTCAACTCATGGAAATGCGACTTACTTGACAAGCAAAAGTCGCGGTTCCGTTACACGTTTTTATCAAAAAAATATTTTGGTTTCGTCCCCAAACAAAAAATAACACTATTAAGTCCGTATTTTTTATATTAAAATATATTTTTTCCGTCCAAAAATATTCATATTTTTTATTTTTTAATTTTTACATTACTTTTATTTTAATGTAAAGGATAAAATAAATATTATACTATTTCTATCCGGCTCTAAGGGTCTCATTTAATTTTTTGTGTATTAATATTTCAATATTAATTATTATATCAAAACGTAGTACAAATTTAAAAAAAAGATGCAAAAATACTTCAATTAGTGTCTTATAATGCTAATAGAATGATATTTGTACAAAATATTATACAAATATAAAGTTACTTTTTATATTAAGTACAAAAGATAAATGTGACCCTTAGAGCGGACCGAGAAAATAATACTTTATTATTATATCAATAAAATACTAACTTATCTTAATTAGAATGTAAAAATCAAATGAAAAATTTACTAATTGACGGAAAGAGTACTGCTTTTTTTTTTTTTTATAAAATTTAATATCAAAATAGTATTTAAATTAAAACAAAAAAAAAAAACAAATATCAAATTAAAACCAAACAAACCCTAAGGTCTATTTTTATTTTTAAGTTCTTTATTACTATTCAATATTCATGTTTTATAAAAAAGTACAAAATATTACATCAAATTATTGTTTAAATTAAATAATATATATTTTTATAAAACATAACTTAATATTTCATTTTAAAAATTCCATAAATTAACCAACATATATAGTAATTCATTTATAAAGTGTGACAATCTTTTAAATAATTCCAAATATACTATGCAAAAACATGACTATAGTTATGTAGCAATTAATAATTGTCCCATGTTGGCAAAATAAACATAAACGGTCGCAAAATTTTCAAGACTTTTTTATTTTGATTTGAATTTTGATTTAAATAATATTTTGATGCAGTATATTGTGAGAAAAAATAATACTTTCTTCGTCCCATTGAAATATTGTCATTTACTTTTTGCACGTAAATTTTTGAAAATTATTATTACATTGAACTATAGTATAAAAAACAAAAATACTCTATTAATATTGTGTGATATAAAAAAAATGATATTTGTGTAATATATTGAAAATTAGAATGATATTTATTATGTTAGGTAAGCAGTACAATTACTAAATTAAAAAATAATAACCTCATTTTGGAATGAACTGAAATGTAAAATGATAATTTTTCAATAAAATGAATGAAATATATTTTTACTTAAAAGCATATAAATGAAATTGTGCAAATATTCAAATAAGTTTTCAAATATGTATTTGCACAATTTATAAATATTTATATTTATTAAAAAATTCACATTCAATACTTCATAAAAAAAAAAAAAAAAAAAAAAAAACACTTATTTTTGTGCAAAATAGGATGTCAAATCAAAAAATTACTTCTATTTAACCTTATATTACTCCGAAAACTCCTGAAAATTCCTATAAAAACTTGTGTTTATTTACCCCTCAAACCCTATATTTTTACTATTTGAATTTTATATTTTTTTTCTCTTACAAAATATCTTATTATATATTATTTTAATATTGAATTCAAATAAAAAAATTTAAACCCCTAAGAACCCTAAGAAGGACACACCTATGTTTATTTATTTATTATTTGCTAGGTTTATTTATTTTATATTAGATATATATATGTATATAATTAGAGCCGGCAATGGGTCGATTCGTATCGGGTTGAATATTTTTAACGGGTTAAATTATTCAATCCTAACCCGATCTGTTTATTATTGTATCGGGTTCGTGTTAACTTGTTTATTATCGTGTCGGATTCGGGTTGACTCGTGTTGACCCGTATACATAATTAAGTTTAATTTCTTTATTCAAATTAAATAATTTTTTGTTTTATTGTCGTGTTATGTTAGTTTTTATTGGTTTGAGCGTAAATTAGGTTGAATTATTTAAAATTGAATTTAGTTTAAATTAATTAATAAAAAATTATTAAATTATGGTTATTTTATATATATAATCAATATATTAATCAATATCAATATATTATAATCGGGTTGTCGTGTCGGGTTTGAGTCGAGAGCCTCAACTCTAACCCGACCCGTTTATTATCGTGTTGGGTTCGTATCAACTCGTATACATAATCGAATTGAAATATTTGATCTAAACTCAATTATTTCGTATTGAGTCGTATCATATTCTCGTATCAATCAATTATTTGACTTGAAGTGGCAATGCATTGTATGTTGTCACTTTATAACCATATCCATATATAAGTTCTTGTAATATTAAATAATAATAATAATAATAATAATAATAATAATAAAAGAAAGAAAGAAAAGTAATCAATTGTTGGTTGTAAGTATGAACAGATGAAATTACAAGTAAAAGATGTAGTGCTTATTTGTCAATTAATATATATATATATATATATATATGCATACACATATGTAACAACATATGTAATTACACGCAATGAATGATTCTTGAAATAAAATTGGAATTTCATTACCAACTCACCAAT